AAAAGATGAATAAAACAAAGATGAAAGCAGCCTATATTTGCATATTGTCACTTGAATTGTCTGTAAAATGTTAAAATGCAGTGTGCAATGTTGGAAAAAGCGATTGCAAAGTTGTCGAAATTGCTAGTATGTTTGACCTAAGTCATTGTCAAGCCAACCCTGCAGTTAAATTCCAAAAAAAATATTAACTAAATGTATAGAAAATGTCTCATATATAAGAAGATTATACCATAACAGGTTTGAAACATTTCCAAACATGAAATATCCGCCAATTCGGACCAATGTCAAATTATTCATACAGACGTGTGATAAGATGGTCGACTGACGTTTATGTTAGGCTAAATCGGGCGTGGTTACTTGCATGGGTTACTGCCTGAGTAAGCCCAGCAGGTGGATTTTGTTCATTTCATCACACACATGAAATAGATATGAGGCGATGTCCGTGCATTCTTTCTCACTGTGATGTCAATCATTCGTAGTAGTAGTCCGTGGAATTTTTTTTTAAATTCATAGAAAGTTTGAATAATCCCTCTAATTGTCAATGGATAAGTTGTTGAATCAGATGCTTTCGGTACATTGTGGTTTTAGGTTGTGCAAACACAATGGAAAGTTGTGAAAAGTGCATGCAAAGTTTGTTGATGTATTCGTATAATTGCTGTTAAAGTGGAGAATGCAGCAACACTGGCTGAACAGAACAAACATGAAAGAGTATGGAGCGCATTGGACTGAACTGAACAATTTGCCGTATTACCATCCAGTAAGATTTCATGTAATAGACCCGATGCACAACCTCCATCTTGGCACTGCTAAACATGTAACTCAGATATGGAAAGATAAAGGTGTTATTGATGGCAACATGTTAGTATAATACAGTCTAAAGTTGATGGTATGAAAGTTCCTGGTAATGTAAGAAAAATTGCGTCAGGTTTTTCTGGTTTCACTGCTGACCAGTGGAGAAACTGGGTGCTTATTTTCTTTCAATATGCTCTTAAAGATATTATAAGCAATGACCAATATAATTGCTTGGGACTGTTTGTCAATGCATGCAGAATCATGTGTTCAAAAGTTATATCCACTGAACAGGTAATTAAAGGCACATGATTATTTGCATAATTTCTGCATTTTTTTAGACAACTCCATGGAAGTGAAGCATGCATTATAAATATGCATTTACATCTTCATTTAAAAGATTGTCTGTTGGATTATGGGCCTGTTTATGCTTGTTGGTGCTTTTCATTCGAAAGATATATTGGTATTTTGAGCAACTATCCTACCAATAACCAGGGAATAACTGTTCAACTTATGAGGAAATTTACTTTAGGACAGCAGATTGAAGATAAACCATGGCCAGAATATATTCCTGATCTGCGAACACTACTAGGTTACGGTCAGCAGTCACAAGGGACATGTGAGGCTACTTTTCAACATGTACAGAGATGCACAGAGACGCAATCTGCAGAATTGACATTAAGGGATTTTAGAGAGCGATGCCAAATTACTGTGTTGCCACCAGAGCAAAGTCACTATTTTGACAGTGATGACACTTCTGCTCTAACAGAAATGTATGCTTTACTGTACAATACAAGTAACATTTTGAATGTGATTTGCATTGCAGAATGTTACAAGCGTGTTTCTTATGCTGGAAATCTGTATAGCATTGAACGTTGCCATTCTGCCTGTGTGATGGCCAAGTGGGTTGGTATTGAGAGTAGTGTTCAATTTGTTGTATGGCAAAAAAGACATCCCATGAAAAAACCATTATGGGAATTATACTTAGGTGTGGGAAACTGATACTGATACTGTAACTGTACATGGAGCCGCATTCATGCAAAGGATTCAGTGTTTGTGAGTATGTACGCAAGTTAAAGTGTCATTTCCTTATTGTCAGTTGGGTGAACGTGTATCTGTAGTTGTACCACTTGAAAATTGTAATAGTGACCAGCTTTGATAAGTAACTTATTTTATAAAGTATAAGATTATGGGATAACTGGAATATTCATATAAATGGTCGTGCAGGCCTTGCTTAAAAGTTGTATTCTCACTTTCTAACATAAGCCATAATTCCGAAAACAA